ACTACCGACCATTTATCATTTGAATTTGTAACAAACTAGTTTTAGCGCACCTTTACTTACTTTCAAAACACTAACATCAAATCGAATTTCTATGAACTCTTAATTTCATACAGTTCATTCCATTTGTGTTGTGTTGGAAATCCGTCAGCAGTATTTTTAACCAATGATATTTTCCATTTTTTCTAACCCACCAATCATCGAATCTCATTGGTCTTGCACTTGAGCAAATGAGAGAGGTTAGTTTTGGATATAGATTACAATATACTTTATTTACAAGAAACATTTGACATGATCAAATTTGTAATAAGTATACAACTCTAATATTTTGTAAAGAATAAATTATCCATCAATTATGGTAATAATAATTAAGTGTGTTATATAAAAATAAAATATTATTTATGGTACATTTTTAATGCAGTCTATATATCTATAGTTGTATTTACATAAACAATAACTAATTGGTCATCATATAGTCGCAAAAATTCTTATTTATTATCAAGATTATATGATAACAATAGAGTTTATTCAATAAACAAAAAAACAATCAGTACTTTTAAGTTCATCATTAATTTAGTCTTTTGTTTTAAAACATTTATAAAGAAACAAATTTTGATGTCGATAGGTAGATATTAATATTTTTACCGTAGGTATTTACTTCAAAATTATATAAAAATATAAATGACAATATGAAATATTTAGAACAGTACCTGCCATCAGTTATTTACATTAGAAAAATTAATATAACCTAAAAACTATTCTATTTATCATAAATAATATCAGACGATTACGGCACTGATTAATATTTGTAATAGCAAGCTTTTCTGAGAAACTTTTTAAAGAATAATAATAAAAAGTTATAAATATATATATATATAAGACCAAAATAGGAGTATTTTCAAACAAAATGATTAAGAATAGCACGTGGTGTTGTTCTGAAAAGAATTTATTACTATGTCAACTTCATTTTCCTATTTATAATATTTACAAAACGAACAATTTAATATTACCTGAAAAGAAAAACGATAATTATGTCTATTTCTCATTTTTCACACTCATTTTCTTAGTCTATTAAATCTATCTATCTTCTTTAAATATTCAATCTGATCTTTATACGTAACGTCTTTCCTTTCCTACTACCTTCTTCCTTATGAAAGCGCGCGTAATTCAAATGGAAGAAAGTACACTTTCTTTACATATATAATATGTAACACTTTTAATTCAACACCATATACATTTCAATAGCATAAATAATTATACATTTTCAAATGGGTACAGGCATTAAAAAAAAAAAAAAAAAAAACAAATAGAAAAAATATTTTCAGAAAATAAAATTATTACCTATTTCGAAAACTTCTGACGTCTTATAACATAGTTTTTTTTTTTTCTACTTTTTTCTTTAATATTTTTGATAAGAGTTCGTAAAATGGCGATATATTCTGATATTCAGAGACAAAAATCAGTACGCATGAAAGTTTGATGATGAATATCTTTTGAACGCTTAATTTAATCGCCAAAACATAAGACACCATTTTTATAGAGCAGTTNGTCGTCGTCGTCGTCGTCGTCGTCGTCGTCGTCGTCGTCGTCGTCGTCGTCGTCTATACATATAAATGAATAAGAGTCAAAAAACAAAAAAGAAAATAAAAGAAAAGGGATGAAGAAAAGTATTAAAAATGAAATTGTAATAGGTAATCGACTCTGGTAGTAGGGATCTTTAAAGATTGATTAGGGACGCTGTCATTTGAATAAGAAGCAAACTTCTAAAGATTATGTCAAATGATCGCAATTTAATGAATTATTATTTCTATAGGAATACCAAAATGAATTGATGAGAGACCCTATTGGGTTCCCATTAAATAATTCATTTCAGTCGGGCCACTTTTTGCCATCAGATGACGGATAATTTACATGCGCACCCAATATGTCGACAAAATTCATTCATATCAAGTCCGATATAAACAATTAAAATGTAACTCATGATTAAATTGAAGAAGTTCAATTAAATATAACAGTCATTGTTATAACTGCCTAATGATAAATAAAAAAAAAAAGAGGGAAAAAGAAAAAAAAAGATAAGCACTTATACAAATGAGAAGAGAAGGAAGAAGAAGAAGAAGAAGAATATCCGTTGTATATACACTACTTGCTCGTATGCTCATACTATTTAATATTCTACGTTGTATATTCTATGGATATTCTGCTAACGCTTTGTTCTATTCCATACATTGGAAATAAACTAAAAATATCTTAAGGATATTATTCTCTTATTCAAGTTTTAAAAGCAGAATTATCAATCACAATCTCTTCGCTGCTGCTCTTTCTTATAATTAAACGCGAAAATGACTAAAATTGAAATTTTAGCTTTTTGTGGAATTTCAATGAATAAAGAGAAAAAAGAAAAAGACAAAAATAAAAAGAAATAATCGATGTAAAATAAAAAGTAATAAAGATAATTAAATTAAGCGTGAATTATTTAAAATCGTATAAAGTACCTCTAAGAAGCTCGAATAAACGATAAATAAAACGATTAACACAAAAATAATACATAATATAATTACAATATTATATGGATAATAATTAATTTCTTCTTCGGCTTTTACTTTTCTTTACTATATTAAAATTCTAAAATATATATTTAAAAACGTAATTACGAAATAAAAGAATAAGGAAGAATTTTATGGTTGAAGGTTTGGGAAAATAAGGAAAAAATAAACATGAAAAGTTTCATAGATAAATAAAATGATAAATAAAATGATTTATTCTAAGCTCTGTCGTAACAATTTTCCTACGTTGTTATTAAATTTGTAAAAGCAAGATATAGATAATATTGTAATGTAGAAAATACGCAAATCATCGTTTTGTTGCTACTGCTTTTTCGTATTATAATTTTACTTTTATTATTATCAAATTAAAAGAAATGAAAAGTATCATTGCAGAGCTGGATATTTTTCAAGAGAATTCTGTCCGGCAGAGTGCACAATTTCAAATATATATATAAATTTGGTGCTTTATGTAATTTAAAAGATATTAGCGCGTAAGTGTAATTCTTATATAAACTGGCGATTATTAAATTATATGGACATCGAATGGGGCCTTTCGGATTATTATGCATAAACGATTTCCTATTCGATTAGTAATTACATTGAAATTTTACGTTTTTCTTTAATGAATATAGAATTAGAAAATAGTATGTTATTATTAACTATTTTTATCGTTATGATCGTCATCATCATCATCATCATCATCATCATCATCATTATTATTACTACTATCGTTATTACCTATAATGATAGTCCTTAACATATTTACCGCATATTTATTATATAATATTAATCACATTATTATTAATTTTACGAATAAATCTCATTTAAAACAGAAAAAAGATTTTTCAAAGCAGTAACGCAAAATGCATGATTTCTATGTGGATCTGACCTTTTATTAAATGCTTAATTTGATTTTTCACCTTATGAAATGATTTATATCTGTTTCTTTATTACCCTTTTCATTATAACGAAGACTCTACTATTTGATTCTGGCGTCGTTGCTCAAGTTTGTCAAGAGGGCTCAAAAAACTTGACTTTAGCACGTGGATTAATATTATATACAGGATAGTGCTGTATTTTTAAAAATTATTACTTACATAAAAACAAAATTACTCATGTACTCGTCAATAATTTATTTAAATAATTACAACCAGTAACTCGTGCCGATTAGGATCTTTTATACTTAGCATCATTGAGCACTGGAGGGACTTTAAATAAAAACTCACGGTTTAAAAAGTTTTGTGATAGTTCCAAAACACTCGTCCCCCTCGCTGTTGGTTGAATGATGTCGTGAAGTGGATTCAAATTGGATGAATTGTTGAATCGTTGAATTGATAAATGAAATGAATTTAAATAAATAAAATTGAAACAACAATTGCAACGTATAATTAATAAATTAATTCAATGAATCGTTTCATTCACATTACAATTTAATTAATGATGCAAAAAGTTAAAATTTTCTAATGCATCGAACGTCAGCTATTGGCCCAACAGTGCTTACGTTGTACCATATAAATTCTATGGACATCATAAGCAATATCGGTTACCGGATCTCACCACTGGGAGGTTGCTGCGTCGGAGATCCATATAAAAATTGATGCATTTATAAAATGAAAGAAAAGAAAGAAAGAAATATATCTGCATATATGTATGCAGTAGTTTATAACACCATTGATTAGTATGATTTCCATGGAACGATAAACGTCTTTCTGAAATCATAAAAAGAATTGCATATTAGTATATTAACACACACATACCAAGTATGTAATGTTAGTAAAAATATTCATTAAAAATCTTTAAAGTTGTATAAATAAAACAGTAATTGTATCAGAGCAAACTCAATAAAGAGTAACATAAAAAATAAACCAGTTCTTATACTATTCTATGCAATGAAAAGCTTTTTAAAGTATTAAAATCAAAATGATAACGTTAGAAAGAAAATTATTAAATAATTTAATACGCTTTATTTTCGTAGATGTTGTCTCGTTAAAGGATAGAAGACGAATACGAGGTACGTTCAGTGATCCCAGAGACTTTAGTTCGTTTGATGGACACAGGGGCGCCCCGGGAAAATTTGAATTTTGAAAAAGTCCAAAAAAGTGTCCAAGTTCCAACTTTTTCAAGTTGATGACCTGTTTTTTTTTTTTTTTACTCATCAAGTTCCCAAACCTCCTCGTGCTGGGAGTGGTGGTGGGAGTAGTGGTGGGAGTGAGGGTTG